GGATCATAGTGTGATTGGGTTATTCTTACGGCTGTGGGGGGATGTGGTTCTTTGCTCCACGTTGAGCTTAAGTTCAAATTGGGAAAAGAGGGCAGTGGGGGGATGTGGGGGGGGATGTGGTTCTTTGCTCCACGGTGATTGGAATCTTTAATGTTGGTGTTTGGTTTGATAATGGAAACGAGTGGATTCAGTGGGTGTTTAAGTGTGGAAAGAGGTTGCGCAACCGTAATTGGTTTTTGAATATATTAAGATATCATGATTTGGGAAGATTACGGGAGATGGTGTTGTTTGGTCAAGCTTTTGGGTTGCAAAGTAAAGATCTTCTAGGCTGGAGAGTAATATCTTTGAGAATCATGAAGCGATATTATATTTCAAATTACCGATTCAGAATCACAAATCACATCTCTTATATCAATAAGGAGAGTTTAAAAAAGTCAATTGTTTGTTGTTTATGGGAAGTTTTGTGGATTCGTTATTTATGGTATTCAATCGAAGAAGGCTCAGAGATTATTTTTTCGTCGGTATATATTCAAGAGGGGAGAGCCAAGGGTCTCTTTCATCTCTACTTTTGTTTCTACTTGTCGGTTTTTGCTATTCTTCTCTTCTCAGCTACGTTTCTACATCTTTCAAAAACGGTGTCAGGTTTGGTTTTGGGTTTGTATTATGGCTCTGTTGGCTTTGAATAAAGGAAAGGCGGCGATGGTTCGCACCGAGACAGTGAAGATCTCTGGTTCGGTTCTGTCACAACGGATTCAACAGTTCTCTCTCACCTTAATTGGGAGGCTGATGAACCCAAGTATCCAGAGGATGGACTCTCTGGTGGCGAATATGCCTAAGATTTGGAAGTTGGAAGATAAGGTAGTTGGGGCTGATTTGGGACAGGGGACGTTCCAGTTTAATTTTGAATCCGAGGAGGAGCTTGAGGGGGTTTTGCAGAATGTGACGTATCATTTTGATGGATGGATGATATCATTGGTTCATTGGGAGCCTATTACATCTAGTACTTACCCATCATCTATTAATATTTGGGTTAAAGCTTCTGGGATTCCGATGCATCTGTGGGAAGAAGCAACTTTACAAGCTATTGGGAAGAAGTTGGGTATAATCCGAGAGATTGATGAAGATACTTGTAGTATCTATGTCACTGTTAATGGGTTTAATCCCATTATGTTTCAATTGGTGGTGCCTTTTGATACAGGTGATGAAATAGTGGTTTCCTTAGAGTATGAGAAGCTTAATGGTTTCTGCGATCATTGCTTCAGGTTAACGCATGAGGCGGGGGGTTGTCCAGAGTTAAGAAGGGTTCCTGGGAATAGGGTGATTGATGACCATGCAGGCAGGAGGGGGCCTCCTAGACAGCAACTGTTGGCTAAACAAAATGGCCACAAGCAAGAGGGAGGGTGGGAAAAGCCGAGGAAGGTGACCGCAAAAAGATCTCTAGATTTTCACAGTGAGGATAACAATGGGAGTTTTCAATATCATGTGGAAGAAGGGAGTGCTGGAAAGCAGACTTACCTTCGTTATGAAAAACAGCAAGCTGCTGCTGTTTGGGGTAATAAGAGGAGTTTTCCTGGGACTTGGGCTGTAACTAGTGGGGAATTGGGGAGAGGACCAGCTAGGAACGATGGTGAGGGGTCACACTTTCAAGTTCATAGCCCCCAGATGGGCAGAGGAGGTCCAGGGCCACTCTGGCCAAAGCCATTGTATCAAGTGAAGCAGGTGTCTAGTGTGGATAAATCTAAGAATAATGCTACTGCACCTGTGTTGGGCAAAAATCAGGAGGATCTGGGAACAGAAGTTGTACCAGAAATGGAGAGTAAGGAGTTATCAGCTGGTCTTGATTTTACAGAGAGTATAAATGACTTATTAGAGGATGGGGAATACCAGGAAGAGGATCAAGTAATGGATGACGAAGAAGCTACAGCTAACTTGACTCATGTTCATGTGGAAGATAATATTCATGGAAAAGGTATGTCTCGTAGCTCTAGTCATTTATGTATTGAAGTGGGTAAAGTTAGTAAGGCTATGATGGAGGTTGATTTGGGCAGTAAAAATGTATTATTAGAGAAAACTTATGGTGTTCATGGCAGTAAAGGTGTTAAGGCAAATAAGAGAAATGCTTTACTTATGGCCTCTCCCGGAAAACGTTTGTTAGCTAAGGCTTTACTTTCTAAAACTGTAGGTGATGTTAACAAGCAAAAGGCTGTAGGAAGACAACACCACAAAGCTAAGGAGTGAGTCGTCTCGGGTGGAGAGAATCGTGCGTTGAAGAAAGGGACGGTGGCGCTCCCGAAACCACTGGTTCAAACGTGAAAATTATAAGTTGGAATTGTCAGGGCATAGGGGCTGACCTGACGGAGAACTATTTAAAGGATGTGTGGCAGAAGAATAAACTGGACCTTCTATTTTTGTCGGAGACAAAAAAATATTTTTCTTATTTACAAAAATTTCAAGTTAGTTTTGGTTATAATAAATTGTATACAGTTGAACCACGCGGTTACAACGGCGGTTTAGCTTTATTTTACAATGATGAAATAAAATTGGAGGTTCTTTATGAGAGTAATCGAATTATTGATGTGAAAGCGTTTTTGGGACAACAAGCTGTGTTTATGACATTTGAATATGGAGATCCTGTCGTCAGTCTCCGGGGTTTGGTGTGGGATAAATTAATGGAATTAGGATCTAACAGAAATGCTCCATGGTTTATGGTCGGTGATTTTAATGAGCTTATTGGGAATCATGAAAAATTAGGTGGCAATTTGAGGCATGCGTCTTCGTTTGTTTTATTTAACTCAATGATCCGTGATTGCGGGATACTAGAGTTTCCGTGTTATGGTGATCAATTATCTTGGAAAGGATATAGAAGGAATAATCAAGTTGTAAGATGTAGGTTGGATCGGGCTTTAGGAAATGAAGATTGGCATAGTCTTCTCCCTTATTCCAGAGTAGATTATCTGGCTATGATTGGATCTTATCATAGACCCATTTTAATCAATTGTGAAAAATATTTAGAAACTTCTAGACGACAATTCCGGTTTGATAAGAGATGGATTGGTAAGGATGGTCTCTCAGGGGCAGTTGAAACGGGGTGGAACCGAACAAAAAATTTTAGAATTCCAGTGTTTGTGGATAAGATTAAAAATTGCAGAATTTCTATTTCATGGTGGAGAAAAAATAATATTCCCACTGGTCAGGTTCTAATATCCTCTTTGAAGTCGGCTTTAGAAGAGGCAAAAAACGATGATTCAATTCCTCAGGTGGAAATCAGAAATATTGAAAATAAATTAAAGGAGACATATCGTGATGAGGAGATATATTGGCAACAAAAAAGTAGAAAATTTTGGTTAAAAGTAGGGGATAAAAATACAAATTTTTTCCATGCATCAACAAAACAAAGAAGGGCACGGAATAGGATTTTAGGACTATTTGGTCCAGATGACGCATGAGTGGAGACAAATAGGGGTATGGAAAACATTGCCACTGATTATTTTATGGATCTTTTTAAGAAATCTAATATGAGTGGTATTTCAGAGATGGTACAAGAGGTAAATCCATTCATTACAGAGAACATTAATAGTGATTTAACCAAGGAGATCACAGAGGAGGAGATTAGGAGAGCTCTATTTTCTATGCACCCAAAAAAAACTCCAGGACCAGACGGGATGACCGCTTTGTTTTATCAAAGATTATGGCATTCTTTAAAAGGGGATTTGGTTGCTCTGGTTAAAGATTTCTTCCGTACCGGAAAATTTGATAGGAGATTGAAAGAAACAAATATTTGTTTAATTCCAAAAGTAGATAAACCACAACGGATGGCAGAATTTATGCCAATAAGTCTTTGTAATGTGAGTTACAAGATTATTTCTAAGATTCTCTGTCTAAGGCTAAAAAAAGTTTTACCTAGGTTAATTTCGGAAACACAGTCGGCCTTTGTTTCGGGTAGATTAATTACTGATAATATTTTAATCGCGCAGGAAATGTTTCATGGGTTAAAAACTAATTCATCATGTAAATCGGATTTCCTGGCTATTAAGACAGATATGAGCAAGGCATACGATATGATCGAATGGGATTTTCTGAGGCGGTTTTTATCCAGCTAGGTTTTGATGCAAGATGGACTTCGTGGATTATGTGGAGTGTGCGGTTGGTTTCATATCAAGTGTTATTAAATGGTCAACCCCGAGGAAGAATTACTCCTCAACGAGGCTTAAGACAAGGAGATCCATTATCACTATATTTGTTCATTCTCTGTACCGAGGTTTTGATTGCTAATATTAAAAAAGCAGAAACAGAGAATAAGTTGACTGGTATAAAGTTAGCACGAGAGGTGTCCGGCTATCTCTCATTTACTTTTCGCTGACGATAGTTTATTCTTTTGTAAAGCGGAGGAGGATCAATGTGAAACAGTCATGGATATAATTAGGAACTATGGAAAAGCTTCAGGGCAAGAAGTAAATCTTAATAAATCATCTGTTTTGTTTGGGGAAAAAGTATCAACACAAGTCAAAGACAAGTTGAAAACAGTAATTGGTATAGATAAGGAAGGAGGTATGGGTTCCTATTTGGGAATCCCAGAAAGCTTAGGTGGCTCAAAAAGAAATTTTTTTAATTATGTTCGAGAAAAACTTGATGATCGGGTGAATGGTTGGTCAGCTAAGTTTTTATCGAAAGGAGGAAAAGAGATACAGATCAAGTCTGTGGCGCTGGCACTTCCTACATATGTCATGTCTTGCTTTAAACTTCCTCAAGATTTAACAACGAAGTTAACGAGTGCCATCTCAAAGTTTTGGTGGAGCGGTAATGGTAGAGATCGCGGTTTACATTGGATAGCATGGGATAAAATGTGTATGCCAAAAAATAATGGTGGCTTGGGCTTTCGTAATTTGGATAAATTTAATGATGCGATGTTGGCCAAACAATATTGGCGGTTAATACGTAATCCAAATTCTCTGGTTACACGGGTGTTGCAAGGGAGATACTTTAGAAATAAACATCCCTTAATGGCAAAGAAACCATACTCTCCATCTTTTGGATGGAGAAGTATTTTTTTCGACAAAGAGTTTGGTAGAAAAGGGGGCTCGTTGGTCTATAGGGTCAGGATTTGACATTTCGGTGTGGAAAGATCCTTGGATGCCTGATATTAATCCACAACCAGCTTCTGGACGAGGAAGTTTGCTTCACCCAAATCTAAAGGTTAATCACTTAATTAATCCAACGAGTAAGGAGTGGCATTTACCCATCCTGAATGAGTTTTTGCATCCGGAGGATATTCGTATCATTAAAGGTATATCTATAAGCCGGATAGATTGATTTGGCATTATACAAAATCAGGAAAGTATACGGTCAAATCTGGGTACTGGCTAGCACAAAATTTGAGTGGAGAGGCTGAAGAGAATCCAAGTTATACTGCTTTAAAAGCGTATGCATGGCATATTCGTGCTCCCCCAAAATCAAACATTTTATTTGGCAAGTTGCCACTGGTACACTTCCGGTCATGGATTGCTTAGCTTCTCGCAAGATTCAGTGTGACACGGTATGTAAAAAATGTGGTTCTGAAATCAAGACAATTAATCATGCGCTTTTTGAATGTACGCATTCGAGGCGAATTTGGGATTTGTCTACAATTCCAATGCTCCGAGGAGGTTTTCCTTATAACTCGAGATTTGCGAATCTAGACTTCATTTTTTGGAGTGTGATTCCTTGTTTGCGGGAGAAGGAGAAAAAGCATTTATTTCCATGGATTTTGTGGTTTATATGGAAGGATAGAAATAAAAAGGTTTTCCAAAGAATTCAGTCAGAACCGGTTGACATTATAAATCAAGCGTTAAGTGAACAATTATTATGTGAAAAGGCACAAGCTATTCCGACTGAATCAGTTACACCATTAGAACCTATACCTACTCCTTCGCTAATCCTTCGTTGTCGAATTGATTCGTGGAAGTCAGGGAATACGTTTACAGGCTTGGGGTGGTGGTGTTTCAGAGGAGAGGAACAAACATATCTACTAGGCGCTAAGTGTTTTAGCGGATGTCCTTCACCACTTCATTCAGAATTGGAAGCGCTAATATGGGCTATGGAGAGTATTCTTATAAGAAGGATTGACTGTCATAGATTTGAATCAGATTGTGCCGAGCTTATCACAATGGTACAAGACCCGCAAGAGTGGCCAGCATTCTCCAACCTCTTAAACGATTTTCTTCTGTTACGTGTATCATTTCCGTCATTTCTTTTAACTAAGACTAGGTAATGTCCCGCGCATATGCGCGGGTTGTTGTATATTTATTTAATTATTTTAATTTATTTATTACTTATAAAAATAGATTAAATAAATTTTAATGCTTATGACATTTTTATATGTTATTTATTTAAATCATACAATAGAAGCATACATCCATATCTTTTGAATTTATTCGTTGATTAATTGTTCAATTAATCAATTTTGATAGTAATTTTCTTTAGTACTTTTAAATATTTTTTGATAAAACAATAATATTGTTAATGGTAAATAGGAATGATATTGGTAGAATTTAAAAAATACCACTTTTTAAATTTACCCCCTTTTCAAACTTTATCAAAACAACCACTAAAAATGTTGAAATTTATCCAAATATGTGTGTAAACTTATAAATCATATTTATAAAAGTAAGGTTTCACTCTCTCCTTATTGGTGGAAAAACATTTAAGCCATTCATTTTAAAAAAACATATATATATATATAAGTAAATGTTAATGACAATCATTCAATACAAAATTTAATTACACCATAAGTTATAAACAAATGGCAAAGAAAATGAAAGGAGTTAATTATATATATATAAATGTAAGGTTTCACTCTCTCTTTATTGCTCCATTTGATATATATATATATATATATATATATATATATATATATATATATATATATAGATATACATATATATATAAATTTAATATTTATTTACCAAAAAACACATTTAATCATATACATCAATTCATACTTTGAATCCACACTTTACTACTAAAATGCAACTGAAAATTATATAAATTTTCAAAGACTATTGGTTTTCTTTATTGAATTTCAATTAAACACACTATAAATTATAATAATGACTCATCTAATTTAATTATTTAAAAATGTAATTTACATCACTTCTTATCCTATAAATAGCCATTCTCACATCCTCCTCTATCATATCTCATATCTTCATTATTTTCTTTGTTTTTAAAAAAAGTTCTTGCATGGGGTGAAAACTCAATTAAGATGTCATTGTAAGAGTTTGATCAAATATTTAATTTAAACTTTTGTTTTTAATTTTATTTATTTTTTGTTTATAAGTATTTTTCACTTATAAAGGGGTATTTTTGAAAATGAATAGAAAAGAGGGGTATTTTTAAAAAGATGTACACCAAAAGGGGTATTTCTCAAAAATTCTCTAAAAACAATTTGATATTCAATTTTCTATCTATTATATATACTAAAAGGATGAAAAATATAATTAAACCTAGATATATAACTTAAATTAAGAGGAATATAAAAAGACTTTAAAAAATAAGATTATTTTTTGGGAATTTCTAAGGTTTCACTCTCTCCTTATTGGTCCATTTAGCATTTATTTTTTAATTATAATATTTATTTCTAATTAAACCAAATTTTAAACACATTTAATCATATACTTTAATTCATACTTGAAATCCACACTTTAATACTAAATTGTAACTGAAATTAAGTAACTTGTGAATTGACTATTTCTTTCCTCCATTCAATTTTAATTAACACACTATAAATTATAACTCTAATTTAATTATTTTAGAAATATAAATTACATCATATTTTATCCTATAAATACCCATTCTTACATCCTCCTCCACCATATTTGATACCCTCAATATTTTCTTTGCTTTATTTTTAATGTTCTTGCATGGGTTGAAAGATCAATTAAGATATCATTGTAAGAGCTTGATAATATATTTGGTTTAAAATTTTGTTTTCAATTCTATTTTTTCTTTGTTTTATGTACTTTTTCATTTCTTTATTGTTTTCTTATACTGTTAAATGTATAATACATATGTATAATAATTTTTTATGGCTATTAGAAAATTACTTTATCGATGAGATTCAAAAATATTGATTTCCGACCATTACACCATAAGAAAATCAAGTAAAAAAACAATTTTCATTCTTTTACTTTAGATGTTTGTTTCTTTCTCACATATTCATGTATATTTATTTTATTTTCAAAAGTATGTAATTATTGTAACAAAATAAAAAAAAATTTATATAATTATCATACCAATTTGTAATACATTGAAATAAATAAAATTTTGTACACAAACAAAGGTAATGTGTATGTATATTTATAAGCTTACACACATATTGGATAAATTTCAACATTTTTAGTGATTGTTTTGATAAATTTTGAAAAAGGGATAAATTTTAAAAAGTGGTATTTGAAAAAAATGTATTTTTAAAATTCTCTCAATATCATTTCTATTTTTATCATTAACAATATTATTATTTTTTATCAAAAAATACTCAAAAGTACTGAAGAAAATTACTGTAACACCTTGCCCCGTGGGAACACTCCGCCATGTGGCACACCCCGCCACATGGCATCCGTACAGCGCTGCAGCGCATCGACCCTAACCTCTCTCCTATGGGTCTAAACTGC